CTACATTGATAAGAATGAAGGACAGCCGTCATACAAAATTGCTACGATTGTATAGTTACGCAAAGAATTATGATGAATACAGTGTATGTCATCTCTACTTTTTCTCTAATCTTAATAACTCTAGAGAGTGTCGGTGTTACGGTGCAGTTCAGTTTTCATTATATAATATTGTGTCCTAGCTGTCTACGATACTAATCAAATTGAAATACATCAACTCTTTTTATAACTGACTATTTGTGTAGAGAATAATGTCATCTAGAGATCAGTTCAATGAGCCAAACTCGCTTTTAGGGCAAATTCCACTGCAATTGGAAATTGTTACCTAAAATTTTGAGAAGCGAATCTTCTGTGAAATAATGCATGACTAAGGTTGTGCCCTTATATGAACTCGTTTATCTTGCATACAATTCGAGAGTAAAACAAGTTAATCGTGTTATTAAAATAGGAACAACACGTCGATGTCCGGTGTGTTAGTGCCAATGATCTAGAATCATTGAAAAGCACTCATATTGCAGCAAAAAAACTTAGAATTAGGTGAAAAAAGACCCTAGCTTAATATTTAGTTCAACTTAAAATTATTATTAATTAGGGATGTGTTTCAAAAAAATTCAAAACTAAGTAGCCCAGCCTATGAAGCTCAAAGGAAGAAAAGTATTAGGCGACTGCCCTAATTTTCGTTGTACTGAAGCAGTTGTGACGAGATGATGCCGCTAATCTATATTCTTGGTGAAGTGTGTGCACATAAATTCTTAAACTCTAGCACATAAGATAGCTCGTATTCAGAAGAGGTTTTGTCCACTACTATATGTGTTAAAATGTTGCAGATGCAACGAATCAAGCAGAATCTCCAACTGGGATGATGTGGCCAGGACAATATTATGGTAACACGGGTGGTAATGGGGTGATGTGGCCAGGACAATATTATGGTAACATGGGTGGTAATGGGATGATGTGGCCAGGACAATCTTATGGTGCTATGGGCAGTGATGTGATGATGCAATCAGGCTATTACAATCAGCAATACGGCGGGCCCTACTAACTTCTTCGAAAATATTTATTAATAAGCAGAACTTTAAACAAAAGCAGGAACATCAGTTTTTTAATTTTCATTGAATATCTATACATTCAGTAATAAATTATAAACAAGGCTTCATATAACTACTTAGCAGATATTACATAATAGTTATAAACGAGACTGTTCAACCGGTGTCATTGATTCGGTTCATATTATTAAAAAGTTTGCTTTTCTCTGTACAAGATGATTCTTTTTCTGAACATATTTTAGATCTAATGGATATTGCCATCATAATAAATTCCATTCATCATCTATTTAGGGTGAAAATCTACTACTCGTTCATTTAACAAATCATTTTGAAGAATTTTATGAATTTTTTTGAAACTGTTTTTTTTGAACTTTTATATCCACGCAATAAAACGTTTATATCAATACAAAAGAATATCTATACGTAGTCTAGTAGTACAGTGTGTACATTATAAAATACTCCTGCATATAAAGGAAAGCAAAAGGAACACAGCTTTCGAAACGTCTGAGTGCTACAGATTAGCGTTGAGGGTTGAAGGAGTGGGGCATACAACTGAGAATGAGCCTGGTAATCTTTTATGGTTCCTAAGTTCTTAGCTTCGTAAAATCATTTATCTTCCCCCACTGTTGGGAAACTAAGAAATACCAGAAACCCAAGAAATTTAGAATCTCAAAAAGAAAAGTGAGATTTCTATGTATCATGATCCTGTCACAATAAATATAACTATAATATAGTTGCACGTGTTATAATATTGAAAATTTGGCTTAGCGGCGAATGGGGAATTATGCATAAAGTTTGTAGATACAATTGTTTTCGCCTTTTTACGAATGATAACTACGAAATAATATACAGATAGAAAGTGTAACAATGATCACTGAACATGAGTAAACGTGAGAAACCTAAACATATGGCTCTACTCGACGCATGTATCTCGGAACAACGATGTCCCAGAGAAAAATATTTCAATTATAAGCGCAGATGATTTTTGAATTTAGTTGTCGGTCTGTTTTGTGGTGGAAAAACTCTACTAAATGAAACAATACTTATCACGTATTGTCAGAAAAGGTCACTGCTAGGAATGTCTTTTTCTTTTTCTTCTTCGGAATAAGAAATGAGACGTATTCTTTATTCTCAGTTTCTTTTTTAAAAGATAAACTTTTCTTCCTTATTTCCCAAGAAAAGAACATAAAAAAATAATTCCACCCAACCATCCACTTTTGAAAAAACATTTCCCAAAAAGATATGAAAGCAAGATGGTATATCTACGTTTGTGTACAGAATCGAATCAGCGCGTCT